GGAATGGATAGATGGATGGATGTTAAGTAGAAGTTTCGGATAATGGATTGATAGATGGATGGATGGATGGATAATGATAGATTTTACTAAATATTTAATGAATGGATGGATAGATGGATGGATGGATATAAGTTATATAATACCACCAGATAAATGCCTTTTGTAGATTATAAATGATGGATAATAAAATTTCAAAATAGATGGATAATATATGGATGAATGGATTTTTAATGAAATGGATGAATGATATTGATGGATGTAATTGCCTGGATGGATGGATGGATGCCCATTATTATGGATGGATGTTAATGGATGGATGGATGGATCTTATGGATAATATTCTCCAATGGTGGATCCGGATGGATGGAAAATGGATGGATATATTGGATGGATAAAATGGATTTTGGATGGATAATGATGGATGGATGGATGGGATGGATGTCCTGGATGGATGGATGGATGGATGGATGGATGGATGGATGGATTTCTAAATATTTTTGCTGTTTAAAGATGATGGATGGATGGATGGATGGATGGATGGATGGATGGATTCAAAACAGATGGATATGGATCTTTATATGAATATGCATCTTTGGATGGATGATGGATGAATGGATGGATGGATGGATGGATCAATTTAAAAAATAATGAAACAAAAAAAATGGACAAATGAAACAAACTGGATTTTTAGATGAATGGATGGATGGATGAATGGATGGATGGATGGATAGATGGATGGATAGATGGATGGATGGATGGATGGATTTTAGGATAATGGATTGGATGGATGATGGATGGATGGATGGATGGATGGATGGATTTGGATGGATGGATGGATGGATGGATGATGGATGGATGGATGGATAATGTGTGATGGATGGATGGATGGATGGATGGATATAATTCTGGATGGATGGATGGATGGTAAGGATGGATAATGGATGGATGGATGGATGGATGGATGGATGGATGGATGGATTTTTTGGATTTATGGATGGATGGATAGTGATCAATGGATGGATGGATGGATGGATATGGATGGATGGATATGGATGGATGGATGGATGGATGGATGGATGGCCTGGATGGGATGGATGGATGGATGGATGGATGGATGGATGGATGGATGGAAATCCTGGATGGATATCTATGGATGGATGGATGGATGATGATAGATGGATGGATGTCGATGGATGGATGGATAAATATTCTATGTGGATCTGTCATGATGGATTCATGGATGGATGGATTCCTTGGAATTCTATGATAGTTGACTACTTCTATGGGCTGCTGGATCTTATACGATGTGTTTTTCTTGTCCTGGATGGATATTGATCATTATGGATAGATTTGTTTGGATTATTCTATTCATGTGAATGGATGGATGGATGGAATGGATAACCATGGATGGATGGATGGATGGATGGAATGGATGGATGGATTTGGATGAATATGCCCTCTGGATGGATGGAAAAAATGGATGGATGGATGGATCAGATGGATAATGGTATGCCTGGATGGATGGATGGATGATGGATGATGGATGGATGGATGGATGGATGGATTTTCTGATGGACTGGATGGATGGATCTAGATTAGATGGATGGATTGGATGGATAGTTTTTGGATGGATGGATGGATGGATGGATATGATGGTGGATATTTTTCATGGATGAAATATGATGGCCTGGATATAGATAGATGGATGGATGATGGATGGATAGATGGATAATGAATGAATATGCCTGGATAGATAGATAGATAGATGGATGGATGGATGGATGGATGGATGAATAGATAGATGAATGAATGGATAATGGATGGATGGATGGATGGATGGATGGATGGATAGATGAATGGTGATAATGATGGATGGATGGATGAATAGATAATGGATATGCCTGGATAGATGGATGGATGGAATGGATGGATGGATAGATGGATGGATGGATGGATGGATATGAATAATAGATGGATGGATGGATGGATATGGATGGATAGATAGATGAATATGCCTGGATAGATGGATAGATAGATAGATATAGATAGATAGATAGATAGATGGATGGATATATGCCTGATAGATAGATAGATTCGTTATATATGAACATATATATTTATAAGATCATAGAATCAAGAATCTTTAATTAATTTTTCCATTGTCGTCACACTGGCTTTGAAAGAATGTCGCTACATATTTTCCATGCAAGACGAGTAATTTTGCATTCTTTTGCAGGCACCAAAAACTAATATCAATAGATGAACAAGTGAAAAAATATTTTGCATTTCGTTATTGTTAATATATTAAACCCTTTCTTCATAATAATGATTGTATTAATAAATAAATTAAATTAAATATATTTACTTTTTATATGCCTGTCTCTAGTATCAGTTTCACGGAATTACATCACTGCTGGATAGCGAATATTATAGTTAAAAAAAAAAAGACTGCTTACTTTAAAACATTATCTTTCAGAATTAAAATGGCTGACAGTTTTTAATGCGAAATTCGATGTTCGCTTCTATTACGAGTAAAGGTTATAGATTTTTAAAAATTAATAATTTTGGCATCTTCTGAGTGATGCCAAGGGCACTTCGACGCTAGCTTGTCTCGCAAGAACAATTGCGACTAAATAATGAGTTCGATCTTTACTTGGGGCTCCATACTTTCAACCTTTTGCCACATCTAAGCTGCGCTTAGAAAATCATTTTATTAATGATGTGTAAATTCGCCTCGTGTAAACCATATTTCTATATCTGCACACCAATATCGTCAAAGTGGTCTTAAGTGTGCTCGTAAGTTTATTTTAATTAATACAAATGCAATTCAACCCCTGATAATTACGACTTAGATGCATTTAGAAATCACACAGGCCATTTGAACAAAGCCGCTAAATTGACTTTCCCCTTGCTTGTAATTTATAGAATTCTGGTTTCACTTATTTGAAATCCCTACAAAGGTTAATTGGAAATGACCTGGAAGTTTGGTTGTCATTGTAATTAAGCGAATAATGGAAAGCAAAGAATGGCAAACACAGTCTGTTATTGGCATTTCAACTGTTAAAGGTTTCGTAATTATTGCAATCGGGACACATTCTCCAGATGAACTCATTTACCAGAAGGGCAGGTATAGTGGGGAGCTTCTGTATAACACGTCAAATCTATAATCAGAACCTATTTAACGCACTGCCATCTGTGCTAATCGTCAGGTAATCATAGACCCGTTAGGGTTGTGTTATAGTGGAACACACCTATTCTATTGTTAATAGACTCTCCCACCTATAATAAGTAGTAGTAGTAGCAGTCGTTCAGTCGACTGGCTGATCGGTTGAACTCACTACCTTCGGGCGGGGAGGAACCCGAGAGAGGCTACGCCGAAGGGCGGATTCTCTTTCGGGGAGGTAAACCGACCCTGAACCCGTTTATACGGGTTCAATGGGCATATTTTTTGGCCGAGCCTACGGGTTCGGAGATCCCACGTTAAACCGGCCTTGTGCCACATGATGCCCTCGTGGGGGGTGACGAAATATCTTTGGTCAGTCAGTCGATGCCGGACGACCGTTAGTCGGATATTAAAGTATCAGCCACCATAACTAGATTACTGCGTCATTACCTATTATATCAAGTTCCTAACGTTTTGTACGTCGAACCTATTTTAGGACCGACTTAGTACAAATACAAGATTCCACTGTGAAACTACTCTACGACAGGTTGTAAGGGCACCACATGTACTGCAGTCACTGGTGTGACGGAACTCATCCATATTTATGATGATTTTGAACTGAGCGTGTTCCTTTTCCTATACTGGCTGCTACATCCAGACAAGAGAGCTCTGTCTGACACTATTGTTCACGCAATAAAGGTTTAAGTGAACGAAACAGAATCAACCGGAATTTGAACTTGGTATGCCGGGTTTACTTTCCGTAACGATAACCGTTACACTACCAGTGCATCTGTTAACGATTAAAGTTTAGTTTAACTCAAAAATGGAAGCAAAAGTGTCACTTCACGTACTGATAGCAGATAGTTTATTAAAGAATAGGAAAAAAAGGCTACCTCCGGTGAGAAAATGTTCCTGTGTGCGATAAGATCGTGTCAATAAACAGCTTTTCTGTACAAGCGTTTTATGTAGGCATTTAGAGTTTCAAACAAGATGTCATATTATATAACTACTGATAAAATCAACTGTCCTATTATAGTGTTGGTAAAAAAGATATTTTGTTCGCTTTTATGACAAACTTTGCAAGCATTCCCAGCTATATAGGGAATAAGGAATTCGGGTACCTCGGCGTGGTGTAATGGTTAGCAAGCTTGTCTCGCTAAGGCAGTTACGACTGAGTAATGAATTCAATCCTCACAGGGTACCCCATACTTTCGGCCTTGTGCCACATCTAACCTACGCTTTGAGGCATGAGGAATTAGATAATAGTCTAGTAATCGTTTCTCGTGCCACATTTAGATACTTTAGTCCCCTGTACCAAATTCTGCATCACGAATTAGACTGGAACAAGGAATGCAATATTTATTGCAGAATAATACCAGAATGAGCAATGTATATGCAAAAGGATGTATATCTCTCTTTTATACAGTGTGTCCCGAAGTTTTCTGGACACATAGGAAATCGCAGTAACTATATCTTCTTTTTACCTCCACAGATTAAACATGGCTTTGTCGAAAGAAGAAAGAATTGACTTCTTTTTCTTGGCTATGTTAAAAGAGAAGGTGTACTTAATGAAAATCACAAATGCCACACACTTGATTGAATGCATAAAGAGTGAATATGCTAAAACTGACGGCAGTGTGGATTTATTGCACCAAGTAAACGTGAATCTTGCAAATCGCATCAACCTTTGCTTCACAAATGATGGAAATCATAGCGAAGATGTTATTTGCTAATATTAGGGTCACCCTGTAGATTATGCAAAAACCTTTGATAAAGTACATGCTGGAACTTGTCATATTTGAGAATTACATTAGAATAGTCCAGAAATTATACTAGG